TAGGGAAAGGCAAACCACTTAGCAGTACATAGCATTTTCCAAACTCTGCAGTGCTTTCCGTTCTCACCCCTTGTCCAATCCTGCCTGACCTGGAGTGCACGGCAGAGAATAAGAACTGGAGACAGAGGTGGTAAGAACCATGTCATGCAAGACACGTGAATGTTAATTGCATTAAGAGGTAGTGGGTGTGAGTTGTCACCTGGGCTGGGACACAGAACAAAACAGCTTTGGAAAAGCAATTCTTTACCACAGGGAAAGCCAGAACTGGGTGCTTGCACGTTCACGCATCAGTAGATCTGTATTTTCTGATACTGTAACTCTGCAAATGTTATGTTCTGTGAAGGAGTTTATCAACTTATGGGTTATGTGAAAGAACCACCTTTGAAGGTCATAAGGTGCAACAGGATGGTTTTGTTGCCAAACTACGGAGACTGAAGTCAAAAGATCTGGTTTTGACTTTCATCTTTGCATTTGATGTCATAGGAGATTGAGGGCATATCTTATAAACTGTCAGTACAGTGATAGAGGTAATACTGGAGATATTTTGCTCTTAGGTGTTGACTATGCAGGGAACAACTCAGCATCTTCTGTAATTAGAAATCATAACTAGTTTGCATTGTACACAGATCACACATGAAGGGGAAGTCAGTCATGAGGAGTAGCAAGTTCTTTAAAATCACTTGGGGTTGATGGCTCTGAAGCAGCTGATGAGACGCAGTGAGGTTTTCTGCGCTTGCGGAGAGGTGAATCTTGGCAGGAGGATTTGACATGTGCTGTAATAATAGTTGTGGGGGTTTTTTGTTTGTTTTTTTACAGGGTTTTTTCAGAAGAAGCATTCAGCAAAACATCCAGTATAAGAAGTGCTTGAAGAATAACAACTGCTCTATAATGAGAATGAATAGGAACAGGTGCCAGCAGTGTCGTTTCAAAAAATGCCTGTCTGTTGGGATGTCAAGAGATGGTACGTTCCTCTAATGAGCAGGCATCCTCTGAGAGGGAATCTGCTGCCCAACTCAGAACCAATTGCTAAGGGTCTTAATGGCAGAAAACGCAGCCAGCCCTATTGTCAGGGACAGGTTCCCTGTCCGAGAGCATTTAGATCAGCTTGCCTTCTTGCTCCGTGACTCTCCTGAACTGGTAACGTAATACTGGCTGCAGAGCTGTCCTCCCGTCTCTGGAGGCTAATGCAGTGGGATGTGCTGCAGTGGTCTGTTAGGGGGACGGCTGTAACAAGAGTCTCAGTTTTGTTTTAATGAGTTCATATTTATAGCTGTGTCCTACCTGAATCTGAACAAGACTCTCTTTTTGTTGTTGTTTTGTTACTGTTGCCTTTTCAATGAAAGGGAATTCTGCCCAAGCTGATAGCCTTAGAGTAATCATTATAGAGCCTAAAGAGTTAGGTTTGGGTGCATGGGAAGAGCATATAACTGCTCCCTTTTTTTTTTTTTTTTCCTCTCCTCCTTTTCTTGGAGGGAGGGGGAAGGCAAGCGGGAAAGGGTAACATTGAGCTGTGTCTCTGACCACCTTTCTGGCTATCCACTCCTTGTGACTTTTTTTAAAATGTAATGCTGAAAGTGTATTTCATTAGTCGGCTACAACTTACTGTCACAAACCAGAACTCTTCCTTCTGTTTCACTTTTTAATTTTCTCTGGGTGTTTATTTCACAAGAACTAGGACTCTTGGGCTGTTAATAATTTAGTGGGTGGAGTGTTAAAACTTATTTTAAATAATTGTTCCGAGTTCTTGTCGTGCATAGGAGTTATTTCATGCCCTAGGCACTTGTTTGCACATAAGGTTGCACCTGCTTTAATGAAAGAGATTTAGTTACATTAATGATGGATTACTGCATGAACATAATTACATCAGTCGAAACTGGTTATAAGCCCTTGTAAGGCTGTGGTTGGACAGGGTGGTAGAGGCAGTTGTAGGTTCCCTAGGACAGGGTCAAAAGTGCTGCAGCCACAATGATGCCTATCCCCTTGCCAGCAGAAAATGTCCTTGTCAAGGCAAAGTTATCAGGAAAATTTGCCAAGGTAAGCTTTATTCAGCATTGATTCTCCTAACTGTTTTGGCAAGTTATATAATTGGTCCGTGAGGAGCTGTCTTGTAGGATTTCTATTCAAACGTGATATGAACTGTTTTTACATTCAGCTAATTGTCAGCTCACAAAGTTGTACTGATTTAATTGATCCCATCTTAAAGCCTGACAATTAACATAGTCCATAGCCAGGTTCGTAGCAAAAGGGGAAAAGGCTTTAGAGATTGTGTGCTTTAGAGCTGCCTTCTCTTTGTATGGAAACAACAGCATACATTTCATATCTCACGCGTATCCTATGCCCGGGAAGCTTCTTGACTTCAGTGGTAATACCCCTGCTGTAGTATTGGTGAGAGCAGTTAAAGTCTTCCCTTGAAAGGCAAGATTTTTGGTTGGGGTGTGTGTTCTGTGTGTGGGCTAACACTTTCAGGATTGACTTTTTTTTTTTTTTCTCTCCTTCCTACCACTTTTCATTTCTCTACCTTGGTAGCTGTTCGATTTGGCCGTATTCCCAAACGTGAAAAACAGAGGATGCTGATTGAAATGCAGAGTGCCATGAAAACCATGATGAACAGTCAGTTCAGCAGTCACTTACCCAATGAAGCATTAACAGAACATCAAGATCAAGCACCTCAAGAAGACCTTTCCTCCAAGCCCAAACAAGAGCGGGAAACCATCAAAAGCCCTTCTCCCCCTCCTAGCGCTGACATGGCTAAGGAAGAAGTAATCGGCATGGTCACTAGGGCCCACAAAGACACTTTCATGTACAACCAAGAACAGTCTCAAAACCCAGCAGAGATGATGCAGTCCCAGAGTGGGGAGAGAGTGTCAAAGAACACTGAGCAGTACATCTTGAGCAGCGAGCACTGTGTTAGTGGGCTCGGTGGCCCTCAGTACCCTGAAAGTGAGCAGCACCTTGGTGGACAGTACAAAGGGAGAAGCGCAATGCATTATCCAAGTGGACATGCCATGTGTTTCACAAACGGCCACTGTATGAACTTCACCAGTGGTTATACTCAGCGACTGTGTGATAGGATCCCAGAAGACGGCTTTTCTCCAAACAAGAATACCACTTACTCTTGCAGCACTGGAGGAAGAATGCATCTGGTATATTGATATCAATTGTTTGATTTGACTTAGTGAAAGGCTTAGTGATGGGTGTGATCCAGCTGTGCCTCTGTAGTCAGTGAAACTGCACACAATTGGCACAACTGCTGAAACTTAAAATCGTGACACAAGTTTGATAGCGCAAATTGTGATGGAGAATAATGGCTCGAGTTGTGTGGAGGATTTGAAGTCATACAAGTGATGGGGTTTCTTGGCTCAGTTTTTTAGCTGCCTGAAAGTAGACTAACGTCAAAGAGCATTGGTTGAAGAAAACTCATGGGTTTTTTAACTGGCTTGACTTAAAAATGAAAATGGATGTTAGGAGTTTATAAATTCCCTTCTTCACTCAATCCTCTTGGAAGACTTCACTTTAAAATAATCTACATGCTCAGATATGCTGTATTTTCCTTAAAGGTATTCAGTACAAATGTCTGGGGTGAAACCTCAGGGCTAGGATTTTAAGCCAGTCTGCACACCTCGCTAGTGTGTTCTAAAATCTCTCTTGCCAGGTAGGCTGGGGTTTTTTTGTTTGTTTGTTTGGTGGTTTTTTTGTTCTGTTTTAATGGGGATAGGCTTATTCTGTTATAGGCAATGTAAAATAGAGGCTTGGTGGGACTCACAGGCTATGCATCCTTCTCCTCTAGAACACCTTCAAATCTGAACAGAGGCAGGAGGAAGATGCACGGCTAAACCGCTTGAGAGAAGTTCAGGGTCTTTTCTGTAGTACTTACACAAGTGAGGCTCTGAACACACTTGTGGGTACCTTAGATGACTTTGCTAGAGCATTTTCTCACTGAATTCTTAACAAGGATGCTTCCTATTTTCTTGCATATGGGTTTTGGGTTTGGTTTCTCTTTTTTTTTTTCCCTTTCCTTAACAGGTCCCTCCTGTTTGCCTTGCACCAGCTGTTTCTCTGCCATTCAGGCAACCGGTTCTGTAAGCCCCTTAAAATAGATTGTCCTTCTCTCTATCGCTGGAACTGCCTGGGATGAGAGAACATAACATCCTCGTTCTCATCCTGCGCTCCTGTTGAGAAGTGCGAGCCCCTGACCTTTCTGAAGTACTCGAGCAGCTGGTGTTTTTCTTCCTCCTAGTTTGTAAAGAGTCTTCAGAGGTACTTGAAGGCCCCTGAAAGTCTCCACGCAGTGAGGCTGTTTGTTTTGATGGTGGATTTCCTTTTTTGTCTTTTTTTTGTTTATTTGGGTTTTTTTCCTTCTTTGGCTACTGCATATGTGGACCATGCCATCCCTAGCAGGCTCTGACCTTAATTGCAGACTCCGGGCACTACACCATGGCACATAGTAATAATTTCCAACCTTTCTTCCTTGCAGGGAAAGTATGTGGAGTCACTACAACGGCATTCTTGGCACTCCTGAGAAGCAGAGGTTAAACCTGTCAGTATGGGCAGGCAGGGAGTGACGCTGCCTGCAGAGGCCCAACCAGTCAGTTTGACCTGTGCGTAGCAGCTGCAGGGAGGTTTAACGCAGCCGACAATAAGGAAACAAACCCAAATCCAACAGAGCACTGCGGGCCCCCCCACGTCCCTGACACGAATGAGGGTTTTGCCAGAGAACTCAATGAGAGCAGGATCCAACCAAAATGAGTCAGTAGCTGTAAGGGAGTGTAATTAGGCTGTGAACCAGTATGCACACAGATGTTCAGGGATTTGGTTTTTTTACTCAATATCCCTACAACCAGAAAAGCAGAACAGGTCGTTCCTGAAGAGGTTCCTCTAAAGAGAGCTAGTGACTGCACAAGCTGACAACTCCTCCCATAGGAAGGACTCCTGGGTAGAGGTGTCTCAAGAGAGTTTAGATGTAATACACAGGGGCGGAAAGTGGCAGTTTCCCCTCAGGACCGAGTGCCTGGGAGCTAGGGCAAACCATGGTACGATGAGAAACTGAAGTGCTTTTTGTGTCTGATTCAGAGTGGGGTGCTGAACCAGACATCCCTTATTTTCAGAGAGTACTGTGTTTTTAACAACAGCTGTGTGAACTGTTGCAGTATCACGGACAGGGCAGTGGTTAGTGTCTGCTGTGCTTCTGGTTGTGTGCTTGGACCTTTCCTTTTGCCAAAATATTTTATGATTTTCAGTTTATGGAAAAGGTCCTCCTCTACCGCACAAGTAATCATTTGGTTTTGGGCGTTGTCCTTAGGCACAGTAATGTTGTGATTCACAGCTGAACCAAGAAATCTGCAATTCTGTTCCTTGTCTTTTGGGGAGAGCTTTCTGCATATTGACTGCCCAGCTAGTAACTGATATTTGGGGGGGAAAAAAAAAAAACAAACCAGAAATGTATATCTATCTATCTCCATCTTGTTTTCCCTAGCTATTGCCAAACACATACGCACACACACGCGTATATACCTGTTGAAAATATTCTTGTAATGGATCTTGGGACCTTCCATGCAAAGGATTGCTAGGCAACTATCAGATTCAAGATGCCCTGCAAAAGCATCGTATCTCTGAGGAATTACTAATCTGTTTAACTGTTTTCTATTTGCTTTGCTGACATTATGTAGGATTACATACTGTTTAGTGTACTTGTGAGGAATACTTTTAAAGGAATTCTCATCCTTCATGATGACAGGCGAAATGAATATCAAAAAGTTTAAACTTCATTAAAAGTTGTAAATTTTAGAAAGCAGAACTGAAAGTATCTCAGAGCGCCTGGTTGGGTTTTACAGAGGGAATTTATTGGCAGTCAGCCTTGACTGATATGTCTGATCTCATTACAATGGATTCAGACTTTCCTACAAAAAATCGCTGTATCTTTGTATAAAAAAAAAGAGCATTTTGTTGTCTTGTGACTGAGCAAAATTGGAATACCAGTTCCTTGGTCCTCCTTCAGTGATACATATAAAAGCAAACACGTAGGAGAGGAAGGTTGTCCCGGTAATAAGGGTGTAAACCTGTGACTCAGCCAAGGCTGGGTTCCTTGCTCTGGTGTTGACACCTTTGTCACCTTGACTGAATCACTTTAGTTGCCTGCAAAACAAGAAAGATATATGAGAATGAATGTAGTAGTGACTGTGAGATTACAATCGATTGATTGTGAAATCGTGATTAATTGTGAGATTACAGTTATAATACAAGTAAGAGAAATGCAGATGTCAGGCATGAATGACATGAGGGAAGAATAGCATAACCTGAGTTCTCTCAAGTCTTTCTCTATAAATAATGTTGGTGTTTCCAAGGTCAGCAAATTTAGAAATGGACTGCTAATGGGCCGCCATGGGGTTTTTTGTTGTTTGTTTTTTTTAAAGGAAGGGGGTGAAATCCAGTTGCTTTGGGAATTGACTGAGGAATACTGATATTTTTTCTCTATGTGTCATTATTGCAAAGTTTACTTGAATAATAAACCTGCTTCTTTCAGGTATTTCTCAGTATTTGGAATTATATCTTTAAGAGTTGTTTTCTGCATATGTTTTGTAAACATCAGGTCTGCCCAATGAGTAAGACTCCTCACGTGGACCCAAACAAGTCTGGCCATGAAGTCTGGGAAGAGTTTTCCCTGAGTTTTACCCCTGCGGTGAAGGAAGTGGTGGAGTTTGCTAAGCGCATCCCAGGTTTCCGAGACCTCTCCCAACACGACCAGGTTAATCTTCTGAAGGCTGGGACCTTTGAGGTGAGACCACCATGTGTATAGTGCGGACCTGACAAGCTGTGCATCAGTCTGACCCCCTTAAGAACAAAAATTAATAGAAGTGGGTTATATCAGGCAAAACCAGCTTGTTCATGGATGCTAGCTCTGAGCTTTCCTTAAGCTGACGGTGTCCAGTGCTTCTGTTTGGTCAAATCTTGGTGAGCTGTCCCTCTTCCAAGCAGCTCAAAAGTGCTGAGCCCTTTTACCCTCTCCTCTTCCCTGGGCATTAATAAATGACTAATGAGGAGTTTCTTGATTTTGTATAGCAGTGGTTACTTTGATAGCTACCTTTGCTTAGCCTGGAGAGAAGCAGACAGCATCTGGAAGGGGGATAGTTTAGAAAGCTGTCTATTGACTTACCAGTTTTGTAGAGGAATGTGTTTTTCGTTCTGTATGTCCTTCCTTCTGCCACTGTGCTACCTGCCAAAGCCAGAGCATCCATCCTGACCAGTCACCACTAGCCTTTGCTGGCAACTGGGGGTTGCTAAAGCCTCCGTCTCCAAAGCAGTAACACTGATAACTAGCTGTACTGCTGTAGCTCTGTAGATACCGTGTACCAGCTGCAGCCTGACTTACTCTAGTAATTCCACCAGTCCTCGTGGTTAATTTCACCCATTTGCGAGCATGACATATATGTGAATTAGTGGTGTTAAACTGGGAATGATACCAGAGAGCTCGGTGCTGTTTTATAATTAGTGACCTTCACCAGAGGACCTTTACTTAGGGTTTTGGTTGCTCTTCCAGGCTCTTGTGTCAGTTGGAGACCATGGGCATTTTATAAATATTCAAATGTGAAGCTTAAACATAGAGGGCCAGGGGAGCTCAAGTCCCAAGTATTCAATGTTACTGTGCTTTTCTGGGGAGGGCAGGGTTGGTGATGCTTTTGCTCTTGTTTACTTGATGTATCCTTTCAAAGAGGGATGCTGGATTTCATATTTACCTGAACTGAAGACATTTCTCATGTAATGTGTTGGGTCTTTTATCTGCATTTATACAGCCCGGTTCTAAAATGGATAATTGTTGGGTTGGATGGTACAAGTTATACTGGAAGACTTGGTGCCTGGAGCGTGTCAGTTTCTTTGTTTCTTCCATTTTGCTGTCATGTATTTTTTGCTGTTATTCTTGACCTTTTAATATTCATCTACAACTCCTGTAGCTAAGGGCTGTATTTTCACTTCTTCAGCTACAGCCTCTTACGTTGCTGTTCGCATTACACAAAAATGTTGGTTCCTTCCTCTGCAAAGTGGTATACTGTCCAGTGCCCTCAAGGAGGGTAGAAAATCAGGCTTGAACTGTTCCTATAACGTAAAGCCAAACCTTCATGTTTTGCAAGTAAAATGTTTTGTCTTGGCCTTTCTTCACCTCAAGCTTTTCTCAAGTCTCATTCGTATGCCTTTTTGCCAGTTACAAGCACTGCTGATAAGAATATTTCTATATCCAGGGGAATTACTAATAATAATGTATGGCTGCATGCTTACCCCTATTCACTTGTTTATAAGAAACATTAGTGATTTCTGTTAGTGAGCTGGTACCTGTAGTTAAAGGCCTATGTGGCATCTTAGCAACAGAAAAAAAAAAAAAACAAACCACAAAATAATGCTGCAGAGCAGTGGGAAGAAAAGACAAAACAAAACCAAAACAGGATTAATGAAACCATTGCAACAGAGGCAAAAGCATCTTGAAAGCCTGATGCATACAAGGTCATTTCTGTCTTCTGGGTAACTAAACTAGGATATCCTAACATCTGCATGTTAATAGAAGAACCTGAGTAAAAATACTGCCTCTGAGCCTGTTTTGGCTCCCTTGGGCATAAGTGTGTGGCTGTCTTGGCACTGTGCTTACCAGCAGCTTGTATTCAAGGAGTACTTGTTCGTTTGGGGGTAAGAAGACACATGGAGACAATGTTGGTGCAGAAGCAGCATAGCTATATATATATTCACACACATGTAAGCTAAAAAGCCCTCTTAGAACTGGGTGTACTGGAGAGCTCAGTATATCATGGTGGGGTTTGCATGGTTTTGTATGGGAGCCAGCTCAGAAACAGCAGTGAGCCTAAAATAAGGAACTCAACTGGATTTGAACGGGTCTTCCCCTACCTCCGCAAGCCCCCACTCCAAATGTAGTTGATGGTAGAGCTAACAAGCCGCTTGGATCCATTGGGGTAGTAACTCAGTTTCTCCACAGACTCACAAACTTGGTAATTCGGCTGCAGGTGGTGGGGAAGTGAGCAAGCACTTGCCTGCGTGAAAGTTTTTGTGAGCTTACATTGCTATGGTGAGGTGATAAGGTTGATCAGGTATATCCTCAGCATGTGCAAATAGGAGTCTGGCTTGAAGTGAAACAGGATGAATCAATCGTGCTGTACCATAGTCTAAACTGTTCTTCTTGGGTTAGAATGGTGACACTGAAATCTATAGGCGAGGTCTTTGCCTTAGTATTAAGTCAACACAGCTTCATGGGCTTCAGTTTTGAATACCAGCGTTCATACTGGTTGCCCATTATTTAAAGTTCATGTTTCTAAAGCCCGTTTCTGTAAGGGGAATACCATTTTGAACTGAAAGGTTGTTGAGTACCTGGTGGGTCCCTGCTAACGCACAAGTTCAGCTTTGTCTGTCTGCCCTTCGTCTCCTTTTGTTGTATTCTGAGGGCTTCTGCATCTAGGTTTCTGCCTAGGTTTCTTGCACTCTGTAGTTAATGTCGTCAAAGGACATATAGCTTAGCTGACAAAGGTGAATAACACATAGTGCTTGTGTGTCCATCAAGATTGCTGCATGTCATTTGGCTGTTAAAATTTAGGAGCAGGTCATGTAATGTGCACGAATGGTGTTTGGATTCTCAAACGTTTTCTTTTTTTTTGAACCCTCCTTTTTTAAGCTTGTCAAAGGCACTAGTCTTTGCTGAAAACCTGGTTCTCCTCTCATCTGTAGTAAACATTTAAATTAATGCAGTTATGTAGGGTAAGTGAGAAGAGACAACTGTCACACCAAGAGATTACAGCAAGTCTGAAGTTTTAACCAATGTCAGTTGGTTCATTTTCTCCAAATAAGAAGGCTGTTCTGTGCAACTTAAACCTTGAAAATGTAAATAAAGTTGTTGAACATGAGCAAATGAAACTTTACAAGCCATTCCAGAGGGAAACATTTCACAGTACGACTGAGAAACCACAAGAGAAATTTCAGCCCAGAGGGGTAAGTTCAGCACATGTCAACTGCTCCAGCCCAGGTGCTTATACCAAAGGGGTATTCCCAGCTGCAGCTACAGACCAGGTGCCGTTTCAAGCCCTGCTTCCCTAGCCTTTTGAAGGCCGTACATGTGGCTCCTTTCTACCAGAGCTCATTAACATTCCTGTGGGTACAGCGATGTGGCATGGTACTTTCCCAAAGAATGCCTAGTGGGCCAGATCATCAGGTGGTGTAAATCAGCATTGTTTCAATGAAGCTGATCCAGTTTACGCCAAGCAAGAATCTGGTTCAATACCTTCATTTTGTTCCTCATAAGTGTGGCCAAGAAAACATTCCTTTTAATGCTCTGTATGCCTTTGGCTGTTCGGTGGCTTAAGCGAGTTGTCCTACTGGCATATTTATGAATGGCATTGTCTTTGTGGCTCAGGCTGTCTGAGGCTTGAATTTTAGTTTTCCTCCCCCTCATGTGCCATAGCCCCTCCCCTGCATCCACTTGCTAGTTTTTTCACTTGTTTGTTTCTCTCAGACTGCTGGGCCAGAGCTTGCACTGTTTTTTACAGCTCAATAGCATGCTGACAGTTTCTGTATAGAATGCTTGTACAGCAGTTAATGAGACAGTTTGAATGATGTTAAAAGGTTTAATTTTTTTCTTTGGCTTTTCTAGAAATCCGCCTATATTTATCATTTTTTGTTGTTCTCTTTCTTTCACCAGGTTTTAATGGTACGGTTTGCATCTTTGTTTGATGCAAAGGAACGTACCGTCACCTTCCTGAGTGGAAAGAAGTACAGTGTGGATGACTTGCATTCAATGGGAGCTGGTGATCTGCTCAACTCAATGTTTGAATTTAGTGAGAAACTAAATGCCCTGCAACTTAGTGATGAGGAAATGAGTTTGTTTACAGCGGTTGTCCTGGTATCTGCTGGTAAGGAGAGAAAGTTAACTTGGCACCTTTGCCAAATTTTGAATATGGCTCTCTATTAAAAGATTCCTGTAAAATGTATACCCTGTTATTTCACGTCTAAGTGCAATGTAGTAGGTTTTAAGCTACTAGCAGCCTGTAATTTACTCTTTTACATACCTGCTCTTTCTAATACTGCCTTTTGGAAAAATGTGACAATGGGCTTATATTTTCCTACTACTTTCTATAGAATGCAAAAATACATCTCATAGCTGCCTGATGGCCGTTTAGAAACTATTTGTCTGACTCATCTAAGTTTCACAGGACAACATCAGTGAAATTACTCCTGACTTGCACAGCCTAAGTCTTGGGATAAGGTGGTATTTTTACTTCCAAGTGTTGTCATTGAAGTCTACTGCATATCATAATTAAGTCTAAATGCAAGAGTTTGATCTCTGCCTATGTCAGCAAGAAAACCCTATTCATCTGCATCGTGACTTCTTACCGCTAAAGGGCTGCCAACCCACTAACATCTTCACCGGCCTCATATCTTATTTCAGTCCCTGCATATTCCGAACACCCCGGCCCAGCTGCAAAGAAGGATTAAGCACCTACTTCTGTACTATTATCTAAAGCCTCAAATTAGGCACATTAGCTCTGCATATAATGCCTGGAATACAAGATGTAGAATCTCTGCTTGCTGGCTAAGGAGGTAGGTAG